TTGACTGTGCCTGGGGTTGCTCTGCTCTTTGCACTTGGGGGATGTGGGCCATGAGCCTCTTCGTGGAAGCACCCAGTGCTACCCTCTGGCGAGCCATTGACCAAGTGACGGAGCACACAGACGGGAGGCATCAGACTTCTCCTGAAGCCAAACCCCAGTGGAAATCTGTGAATGAAGTCCAGAGATCTCCTGAGCTGCCCACTTGCAACTCACTTTTGAGTGACTCTAGTAGAAAGAAAACACACTATTTGGCCTTCCATAGGCACACAGAGGCTTACAATGTCCCATACTCCACCATGACCCAACCACCTGTCACAGAGTCTGCTACCTGTAGTCACCTACAGGCTCAGGGGCAGGCATCTCCCATGGGGACTTGTGAAAGTTCTGAACTGACCCCCTGTAGCTTACACGTTCCTTAAATCTGGTCTACTTTAGTCTCTTGCTGATCAGTGACCTGGCATGCATCTTGGTTTAAGTTCTAATATGGAAAATAATATTTATCTTGTAGGCTAACTTGGTTTGGCTGGAAATGGTTGCCTAAGTGCTGTGTTAAGAAGGATTCTGAGGCCATATCTGGGCTCAAGGGGAAAATATTATGATGGATCAACAGTACCTGCTGGGGTGCAAAGGAATACGGAGAGCAAATATCTGTGGTTTTGTCTGTTATTTTCTTTTAGAAAGGGCATCCCTTTCTCTTGGGTATCTGCTGCTCACAATTCCATTTGTTCTGGTGGGGCTCTCAGTTAGAGTACCTTGCCCCTGGCTTCAGTGATGAGCATGTGACCCAGACCCATAAACACAATGATGTCCAGGGGACAAACATGTGACCCAAACCAGCCAATCAAAGATGCTCCTTGGGATGTGCCACATGAAGCTGGAGGAAGGTGGCTCTTGCCTCTGAAATACTAGGTGGGATAAAGTGAGATAGAAGCTGCCTGCAGCTCTGCCCAGCCTCTCCCCCATCCCCTGCCCCTTACTCTTCTTTCTGCACATGAAAAGTCTGTTTGCAATAGGAGGGAATAAGGCCAACAGCAGGAATGGAGAGATACAGGAAGGCCTGACATCATCATTTGAGACCCTAGATTTCACTGGAACCAAAGCCTGCACTGCTCCTGCTCTGACCAGATTGTGAGCTGAAAAGCACAGCTCTGAAACTGTAGGCTGGTTAGAGTTAAGTGTCTGACACCCACAACCAAAAATGTGCCACAGCCAGCTGTCAGCCCTCTTGTCACTCAAAACACTTTCAGCTCTACCATAGCCCTAATCCCACTACCTGACTCCATTCTTTGAACCCCTGTAATTCTCTAAAAGAAAAAAGACTTTTTCTCTTGCCTTAATCATATTCACTAATGTTTTGTGTGCCATTCCCTTCCTCTGCTCATTTTCAGAAGAAATTTCTGTTCTCTGTGATACTTAGCATTTGAACCAAGCCACTCAGCTTTTGTGAATCTGTGTTCTAAGGTGAATGAAGAAAATGTTTGTAGCTCCGAGACATTTATCATATGTTGCTTACGATAGCAAAAACTTGTAATATTTCCAGAATATCTCGCCTGGCTTTAGTGCATCCACAGGGGTGGAGAGAAGTATGGCTTTAGTGCATATGCATATCAACAGGTGTTCCTCAGGGGGTGGAGAATGGTTCATTTCCATATCAATGGGTAATTACCTGGGCAATGGAGGGCTTATCTGAGCCTGAGAGGTTAAGGGGAGGCCTGGCTGTCTTCTGCTGGAAGAGGAGAGAGAGAAACGGCCCTGGACTGCAGTTTGTAAACAATAAATGGGTATTAAACTTTATTTCTCACTTTGATTTTGGTTTTAGAGGTATTTTGCCCAAGGATTTCCTCTCCCTGGACTTACAATTGGAAATCAGCCAAATGCCCCCAAATAAGGGTACTGTTAAGGAAATGCAGAAATCGTCACATTGTGAAAAAGTATGTAAGCCATGACAATTCTACTTACAAAGAGGTTTCTGCATAGCACGTCCCTGAGGCTCCCATGCTGAGTATAACCCCTCTCGTGGTGTCAGAAGTGTGGAGCCCCCAAGCACCTGTGGTTATTTGTACAGCCTTAACTGATTCAGTGTGCGTTTAGCAGAGGTCACATCACATAGGGCTTGCAATTCTGCTGATGATCCTTTGACACCCTCCCCATTTTGGGGTCCCACTCTCTCTAGATTTTGCCCATGCAGCACCCAGCCTCACTGTCTTGTGTCCATTCTCTTTTCTTCTATATTACCTCAGAGAACCTCAGAGTCATCTGTATGAAGAGCAATCTGGGTCTTTCCCAGCTCCAACCCCCAATGAATTCGTCCTAGGACTCCCTGACCAGAGCGAGGCAGGTGACAAACTGCACTCTTCCTCCTAATGTGGCAGTCAACTTCTGGTTTTTGCCATGGACATTGGCCTTGAGCTTCCCCACCTCTGCCAGAAATGGCCTTCCAGACCTTAACTGCTCCCAAATCCCCTGGAGTACCCCGCCTTAGCATTTAAGATTCACCAGGGCAGGGGTGGGGCCCGAGAATCTGCATCCCTAAGAAAGCCCCAGGTGATGTGCATCTGATGCTGAAGCCATGATCAGACGCCACCTGAACAGATAGAGGACTCTCCTTAGAGAAATTTTGGTGAACAATATTTTCTCCGTCTTGTCACATATTATTATACCATTATTTCTTTTTCTCCAATAATGGTATAATACAGTTACATAAAAATGTTAATGCCTGGGGCATCTGCTTCCCAGTTTCTTCAGAGAAGCAGAGAAGAGGATCCCAGACTGCCTATCAGCTGGGTTTGCTTAACAAAGAGATCCAGAATAGGTTCCATGTTTTGCAAAGAGGATTTCCAGCAAGTACCCAGGGCAACCCCCACTGTTCCCAGGCCAGAGAGGGTGATGGCATTGGGAGCAGCATCGGGCATGGGGCTGGGCCAGCAGGGATTAGAGCCTGGGGCCCCAGAAGCCAGGTCAGGGACCAGTTGACATACTGCGAGCTGTATTTAGATAACACTGTGCCAAAAGCATGTCAGAGATGGCCAAGGGCAGAGCTTCCCAGCTGTCCCTGCCTGCCCCCCAAGGCCCTTGCTCTCTGCTGGATGGACCAGGCCAAGCCAGCATCAGCAAATAATGACGGCCCCTCAGACGGCACTGCTGGAGAAGCCCCAGGTGGTGGAGAAGTCCTGGGAAACCAAGTGCTAGTCCCAGTCCCGGCATTCACAGGTGAGGCTTTGCTCTTGAGCATCATGTCCTCTTCTGGGTTCCATGTCTCAGTCCATGTAAAACAAGGGGCCTGCACCAGGTGATGTCCTCTGTTCCGTGAGACTCCCACCCTAAACGGGTCCTCAGGGTTTGCCTTCATTAGGATTGTCTTCTGTTATTGTTGGGAGGAAGGCACAGAAAGCCAGCCCAAATGTTGTGAGAACCCAGACCAGTTAGCATGCCTTGATGCATTTTGCAGCCTCCTTGGTTATGAGGGGTGGTCAGATGGTGAGAGACCCAGCACCCTGTCTCAGTCCCTGGGGTGCCCCTTTTATTCTGACAAGTGAGGAGCTGACAAGGATGTTGGGGAGCACAGTTTGGAGATGGATGGCATATTTGGCTTCCAGATATTGGGAGTGCCCATCACAGCTGGACTTCCTTTGGCTCTGCTGTCTGCATGGTGATCTGAAGGTTTGGGAAGAAAAGCATCAGTAGCTCTAGTTTGGGCCTCTCTGTGGATGCAGCCTGGGTGTGGCCTGGTGTAACTTGGGTGGGGATGGGGGTGGGATAACATGCTGGGGCAAAATACCTTTGAAACCAAAATCAGTCAAAGAGAGAAATAAAATGGGAGAAATTTGTTTATTTCTTACAAGCAGTCATCCACTTCTGCTCACCCATCTCTCACACAACCTGGCTGCAACCAGATATGCCCTCAACCTCCGGTGTAATTACCTATTGATTTGGAGATGGATTACCTCTCTCTACCTTTTGGAAACACCTACTGATATGGAGATGCACTACTGCCAGGCCAGAGATTCTGGAAATATTGCAATTTTACCCACACCCGGGATGGGACCAAGGACAGTACTGCCATCTGTGAGCAGGAGTGTGGCACCTCCCTGGAGCCAACCATGGGAATTGGCCTTGAGTACTATGATCCTTGTGGGCTTGGGGGTCATTTACGTAGTTTCCCCAGATCTATAGTCACACTGCTCCCAGGACTTAAAGAGGAGTCATCTGCCAACAGGAGCTCCTGTGGCCATGCCAGCCTCAGGCAGGGCCCTTCTCCCTGACGGGGCTGCCCCTGTGACTTCAGGCTTTCTCCTTTTCTCCCTTGCTGTGTCCTTCCTCTATTCTTGTGGCTGACAGCTACTGGGCACTTCACACCTCATTGAAAAGTCACCACGATAATTACCAAATCATTAACAGGGGATTTTGAAAAGGCACTTCAAAGCATCTCTCCCAGAATTGTTAAGACAGGTATAAAAGTCTATCTGGGCAGAGAGCAGCTGGTTTAAGGGGATGTTGAGAAACAATGGGTAGGTGTAAATTGGCCTGGGCTGAGCTGCAGCAAGGCTAGGTAACCTCTCAAATGGAGCACGGCAACAAGCAGGCAGTCTCTAAACGTACAGGTTTAGACAAAACACCTAATGTGTACACTTTGTTAAGGAATTTGACCTGTTTTGGAAGGTTCAGATACAATAAACCTAAATAAACCTTCTTGCATCAGAGGCTTCATTATTAATTTTACTAATTGAGATTAGTGAGCACCACATGCCTGAATGGCTGGGGATTGGATAGGCCAGTTCACTCTTCTTATGCCAAAAACCCCACAGGAAGGAAGCGAACAAATGGTTACATCTCAAATATTGGGGGGACTATTGGGCATGCCTATTTAAGCTGCCCATCTTACTGAGCCCTTAACACTCGTGGTTGCATCATGATGAACCTGGAGATTGTTTGGATGGATATACAACTCTTTCCTACCTGCATACTTCTTTTCAGAGATTCCCTCCCACTTGGAACTGATCTCTGGGAAGCCACAGACTCAAGTGTGGATCTCAGTCTTCCTGCCATGGCCAGAGTCAGTGGGTTTCTACACGTCTGAGACCTCTTGGCAAAGATGCTGGGACTCGCCCTAGAAACATGGAACCAGAATCTCAGAGGCTGAAGACCTGGCATCCATACTTTTTGGAAATTATTAAGGTGATTCTTGGCAGTTTTTAGAGTTCTGGTATTTGGAAACTACAGGAGCTGAACATACTTGTGGTTTCTTTCTTTTTTTGCATTTTCAAAGTTATTGCAGAGCACATCTGCTTCAACATACTGCCTTTGGGTCTTCAGCAATGTTATCTCCTTGTGAGGGCTGTTTTGCAAGATGCATTTCCTAGATGCCAGACAGAAACTGCAAGCTGAGCACAGGAGTGTTTGGCTCGTGGTGACCATCTTTAGCACTATGCGAGCATCTGTCTGGCACCTTATAGTCTGGTGAGGCAGAGTGCGAAGCATCCAGCATTTACTGGTGTTCACATATGGAGTGTAGCAAACTCCACCTAGGACAGCATGCTATCTGGGTATGACTTGCTAACAACATGCAGCTGTCCATTTGTGCATGAGACCGCCATGCTGTGTGGGCCTAAATATGCTGGTCATTTCCACACCCCACCCTAGCCTGCCTTCTAAACAGTGGGCCATGTAGCCTGAGGCTGCCTTTTGCTACCACCATGGTGGAAAAGGGAGGTACTGGGTGGTCCTGGAGGGGAAGAGGTGACAGGAGATTCTGGGTAGTCCCAGGAGACACAGGGGAAATGGGAGGGCTGGGTTACCCAAGAGGGGATGGATGAGAGTGACAGGTAACCTGCAGTGCTAGGGAGGAAGTGGTACCAGCTACATGGGAATCAACAGCTTAGGAGACCCTTTCGAACACACGGATCAACCTGGGGGACCTCCAAATCCTTCAAAGTACTGATAACTTTGGGATTTTATTAAAATCACCTTGAAAAATCTGTCCCATTTATCATAGGCAACCCAAAGTCTCTGATCTATCTCTAGGCATTCTTGGGGCACCCCCACTTCTGCCTGCCACTGGTCCTGACTCCGGTTGGATTTCCAAGTTCTGTTCTGTACTATTGTTTTTCCCACAGGCTATCACCCTGTCTCATGCAGCCTGATCTCTTCTTACTCCCCAGTCCCACCAGCCCAAAGATTTGGGTGGAGCCGACTTCCAGACCCAGTTCAGGAGAGCCCAGAGACATCACAAGGACACCATCGCCCTCAGTCTGGTCTGGATCCTATATGCACATGCTGCTCTGTGTGCTGTGAAAGCCCACATCTCATTCTGGCCCATTCTCTTCTCATCTAGCATCTCCTCACTCCTCAGAGACCTCTGGTACCCGACTTGCCAGGGCAAAACTGCCAACATGGAAGGGAAAGTAAGAAGATTAATTGAAGATTGACCTAACCTTCCTGTATATCTCAATGATCTGACCTCAGCATTAGAATTAAACAGCCAGAGATTAGATTCTGCAGGCATAAACCAATAACACACAAATTTTGGCAAATCATATGCAAATAACACATGTGACTTTGTCCTGGATTGCTCTCCTTAGATGTGTCTCTCAGGAGCAAGCAAAGAGAGATTATTGGCAAAGTACACTCAAGATGTAGGAGCCAAAGGAACAAGAGACGAAATGGTAGATTCTTAAACCTCCACTGCATGCCAGGAAATTTTACGTGTGTCATTTGCTTAACATCTTGAGTGGCCGCTGTGTGCCTGGCATGGTAACAGAGACAGTGAAATAAACAAGAAGCAGCATGCCCTCCTGCTCCCACCTGTGATGACTTCTTTGCTTCCAGCAACCCTGTGAGCTATTTTCATTCCTAGATTGCAGGTGAGTCAGCAGAGATGCAGAGAGTCACCTGGCCAAGGCTACAGTGCTAATAAGCAAAGAAACTCCGATCAGACCCCAGGTCCATCTGACTCCAAACCCCATCCTGAATGCTATAATCCACCGCCCTGGGCCTTGAAGGGAGGCACCATCCCATCAACTGCCCTGGCTGTCTTGGAAATTTGTTGGGTGAGGTCAGGGAGAATATTTTAGGTTTATTGGGGTCACTTCTTTCCTTTGGCAATATGGAAAGAGCCAGAGCTCAGGCTCTGTGCAAAGCAGATGGCTCTGGCCTCCATGCTGGCCCGGTCAACAGGAGGGAGGGCTGGGTTCTGGCAGTTCTGTTGCTAGGGTTTCTGAAAGGGTAATTTTGCAAACAATACCGAGAAATTGATTGTGGCAATAAATTACCATTCTAAAAGGAATTATTTTTATCACTATGTTCTGAGACCCTGAAGAATGCAGCAAAGACAGGCTGAGTAGGTTATTCTCTGTGTGGGGGCCAAGAGTGGGGGCACAGACAGAAGTGTGTGCATGTGTGTATATATTCCTGCCTGCTTCTCAGCTTGATGAAATGTATTATGCAGACGCTAGGCCCTTCCACCCTAGGGTGTTCATCAGAGTCTGAGATGCTGTGTCTTCCCTGGACACCTGCCTGTCCAGGTTGTAGCAAGAGGAACTGACCTTAAGGGAAGATATCTTAAGAGCTCACAGTTGGCCTGGACCCAACAGATATCAGATGGGGAGTCCAAGGCCATCCCCAGATATTTTGCTGTGAGAGGCTGGCCAGGAAAGGCCCTATCACATGTTCAGCTGAGGTAGAGGTGTAAGTGTCACCCTTGTGTGGAAAGGAGAACACAGTGCAGGGCACTCTGACTTAACACCCCTGATATCCTCTGCACACTTCTGATTAAAGCTAACTTCCTCTGAGCTGAGCACCCAGATAAGGAAAACAGACCACGAAGCCCAGAAGGCCCTGCCTCCCTCACTTCCAGCCACACACTTACCAGGGTAAGCTCTCCTGGCTTTGCCTGTTTGTGAATTACATAAAAGCAATCATACAGGTACATTTTGGAAGGATGATTACAAACTCAAGTCCTGTAAAGCTAATGATAGGTTTATTGTCTGGGATACTTGTAATTTAAAGGAATCTTTTGGCGATGTCTTATGTAATTGTGTTAATTGACCTTGGCCCCAAGCCTTGTGCATGCTGAGATTTCTTAATACTGAGCATGTCTTTCAGGACTACAGATGCATTTGGTGTCCTGGAAATTTGCCCACAAATGCAGGCAGAGTGTCAGGGAGAAATCAACATTAACACTGAATTTTCATTAAACAGGACCATCTCTCATTTCTTTTTGTCACAGATTACTGATTGTCAACTTTGACTGCACGTTGGAATAACCTGGATTTAAAAAATATTGATGCTGGGGGTCCCACCCCCAGAGGTTCTGATAATTTGGCATGGATCCCTTTGGCCCTCACTGTCCTCAGAGTTCACCTGTGGGGCATGAAAGAAAAAGTTATCTTGACACTTGGTAAGGCAAGACTTCAAATTATTCAGGTGGACTGCCACAGTGGGGCTTTGTAGTAGGGCTCAACTTCAAATACCATGAGGAGACACGGTGATTTATAGCCAGGGAGCAGGGTGAGGGGGTCAGGGTATGGAAAGTTACTGAAAGAGTCAAGTAATTCTTTGCTAAACTGACCTAACATATTCCTGCTGAAGGTACGTCAGGGCAATCAGAAATTACCTTATCAGAAGAGGAATTTGGTCAGATATCAAGGGTGATCAGGAACTGAGGATGGGGGATTATGGTTAAATGGACTTGATAGGATTCTTACTAAAATTGGGTCATGCAAAATGGACATGAAAGTCCAGATGTCTAGACCTACTTGGGAGGAGGATTAGAGGAGCCTAACTGGAGTTTGGTCAAGGACACACCTAGTCAAGTGTTATGGAATCTGGGTAGAGAAGGTTCTGGCATTGGAAAGGCCTTGAAGATGTTGAAACAAGAAGGAACCAGATGATACATTTTCTACCAAGATGTTGAGTTAAGCAGAGACCCAGGGCAGAGGTCATTTCTCTGATCTCCTCCAATGACAGTCTGGGTCCCTCTTGATGGCGATTATCATGGCAATGAGAGTCGGGGTTGGGAGGGAAGAGAAAGAGGGTGAAAATTGTGTGGCCTGGGGCAAGTTGCTTAATATCTCTAAGCCTTTGATCTATAACATGAAGATAATAATGATAATACCATACCCACAGGTTTTCTGGGAGCATTAAACAAGGTAAAGCATTTAATCCATTTAGCATGGCAAGGGGCACATTGCAAATGCTCAGAAAATACCACCATCATTCAAAGTTGCCACAAAAGGAATGTTTATACTGTATAATCCTCAATTAAAATGTGCCATTTGAGCTTGGTCAGAGAAGAACACTGACATCACCTGATATTCTTTTAGTCAGATGGGCCTCTCTTTTCTTCAGAGGCCACAAGCATGAAAATAATTCCTGGGGCTCATGAGACTTCAAGATGTGACCACACTGCAAACTAGGTCTAGGTCTGCTTAAAAACACAGGATGAGTGCTCACTTTGGCAGCACATATACTAAAATTGGAATGATACAGAGAAGATTATCATGGCCCCTGTGCAAGGATGACACGCAAATTCATGAGTGTTCCATATTTAAAAAAAAACAAAGCACAGGATGAAAGGAGAGGGTGTCGGATGACCCACTCTGGCCTCTCTAAAGCCTTACAAATTGAAGACAGAAAATGTTTTTCTCAAGCAATATATTAATTCTCTTATGAGAATACAGTAAAATGTAGTGGATTCACACCAGAACCCAGAATTTTATAAAATTGTGAAAAGAAGAAAAACTTTCCTACAGCTGAAAGTTCAAATAACCATAACTCCAAGCACTCTATTTTCTTGGGTTTTGGTGAAATCAAGGTAAGGTGGATCAAGGATGGAGATAGTTTAATAGGCAACTCAAGATCACCCACTCACATTCCATTCCAGTAATGTGAAAGGGAAATTTAAACCCTACCTAACGTTGGGCTAATGTCCAATCTTAGCAGGATGACATCCCAAAACAACTTCCTCTGGACCTATCATTGCTCATCCCTTAACTTTTACATTCTACAGGGCTGTAAAAGAATATTTGGCCCTTTCACTTGATATCCACAAGTGCCCTGTATCTGATATCCAGGGCAGCGTTGCCTCCATCTACTAGACGGACTGTAGAAGATCCAATCACTTTTGCCTTATTTTTTTTTAACAAAACCTCTATTTTGTTTCAGCAGTTACCTCTGCTCACAAGACTTGAAGAAGGTGACTGTATCTCCAGCTTCAAGGATAGATCCTGACTGGACAACCCCAATCCTTCCCAATGATTGTTTAGTAAAGGACATGTGACTCAATTTTGGCAGATGAGAAGTGAGAGGAAGTTTGCCAAGTGTCTCTAGGAATGTTTCTTTTGCTCCTAAGAAAGAGTCAGGCTGAACATTTCTGCATCTGAAAGTGACTCCTGGAGCTGCTGCTGTGATTTTGAGACTAACCCAATAATAAAGTCTGTTGAGGTGACAGCCTGAAGCAATGGAAAGAACCTGGGTGAGCTTCCAAGTATGCTGAGTGGCCCCTGACCTCTGGGCCTCCAGTTATGAAGGATTGATTTTCTGAATTGCTTAGAGTTTTCTGTTACTTGCAGCCCAAAGTATCCTAAATGCTGTAAGAGTATTCTGGGACTCAGAGGTTAAGTGAATTGCTTATGGTCACCAGGCTGCTAAGTGGTAGAGACCAGATGAATCCTACATTTTCCCACTCTTTGTTCAGGTTTCTGCTTTCCTCTATCTCAAAATGATCATTTTACTTCTCTGAAAGGAATTACAGGGTATACTATCACTGAATTGAGTGTTTACATTTCATTCCTCAGGGCAGTTAATAATGCAATGGCCAGTAATGGCCTATAGCAAACAGAACTTTCATGTCCTTACTGAAACCAAGCAGAAGTCCCATGGGGGACAGGTGCTGAGGTCCTGGCCATCCCCCAGACTGCATGTCTCTCCCATTTTACTCCCTCTGCCGTCTCTGCTGAATTGTCTGCCCCACACATGTTCTCAGCCCAAGCATCATATATTCCAATCTCTAATTGCTCTTACCCATGCAGAACAGACCCATCTTTGTTTTGGACATCGCCGGAGCATCTACATGCTTTTATCTCATCCCCAATATGCCTTGTTGCCCAATGATTCCACTGATCTGTTGTATCAGATGATTTCATCTCAAAGAACAGTGACTTAAATAATTAGGGAATTTGTTTCCCTACTTAGTGAGAAGTTGCATTGTTGGCAATTTCCAGTCTAGTGCAGCCGTTCTGCCTGCATCAAGGACCCTGGCCCTTTCTTCTGTGTGTATCCCTTACCAGGCTTTGTGTATTCACCATATTTCTTCCCATCATGTAGAAGTGGCTGCCATTGCCCCAAACACCATGTCATCACATGGAGAGGGCCAGAAACAGGGAACGAAAGGGGAAAGAAAATGCATCAAGGACCCTGGCCCTTTCTTCTGTGTGTATCCCTTACCAGGCTTTGTGTATTCACCATATTTCTTCCCATCATGTAGAAGTGGCTGCCATTGCCCCAAACACCATGTCATCACATGGAGAGGGCCAGAAACAGGGAACGAAAGGGGAAAGAAAATGCATCAAGGACCCTGGCCCTTTCTTCTGTGTGTATCCCTTACCAGGCTTTGTGTATTCACCATATTTCTTCCCATCATGTAGAAGTGGCTGCCATTGCCCCAAACACCATGTCATCACATGGAGAGGGCCAGAAACAGGGAATGAAAGGGGAAAGAAATCCTCACACCTTTCTCTCTTATTTTTCAGAGAAAGCACTCTATCCTCAAATCTACCCAATAATTTTCCTAAGGCCGCAGAGCTGATAACAGCAGAGCAGGGCTTTAAATGTGGACAGTCTGACTCTAGACTGTCCGCCAGAAATAAGATGCAAGCCACCTATGCAATCTTAGTTTTTTAGTAGCTACATTTAAAAAGTAAAAAGCAGGTAAAATTAACATATTTTATGGAACCCAGTGTATCCAAAGATTATTTCAATGTGTCATCAATATCAAGATTACTAATGAGATATTTTACATTATTTTATACTCTTATTTTTATTTTTTATTATTTTATTTTGTTTATTAGTATTATTTTACACTGTCTTTGAAATCCACTGTTTTTTATACTTACAGTACATCTCAGTTCAATCACTATATTTTCATCGAAATACTCAGTCTGTATTTATTTTTCATAAAATTTATATTGAAAACAAAGATACACATACCTGAGTTGTTCCAAATAGATTTGAAGTTTGCCAATAGTTGCATCAAGTAACAGTTTGTACATTACATTTAAATGTTAAAAAGTAAATACAAATTCATTTCTTCAGTCACACTAGCTTCATTCCAGTGGCTACTGTAGTGGATGGCATAGTTCCAGAGCCTGTACACTTAAGATTATTTTTAAAAATCAAAGTGCTTGTAACCAAGTACACAGTAATGTGTCAGCAGGTGTCCCTCTATATTTAGGTGACACACAAACTCTACAACTAGAAGACTGGAGACCAGTCTTGTTGATGTTGCCCCGTTTCCAGTTGGCTGGTGACCTAGGGTGAGCCACTCTACTTCTCTTGCCCTCCGTAAACTCCTTTGTTAATGAGGGAGTACGTGACCTCAAGGATCTCTTCTAGCTCTCAAATGATGCATTATTTCTCTCTTCTAAAAGAGGAAGGAATAAGGACATTATTAAAGCTGTGGGCACCAGGATACACACTGGCATTCTCTTCACTGAAATATATAACATTGGTGCTGCCACTCTGCATGTACTGTGATGCTGTGAGCAAGCAGGGCTCACACAGCCTCTCTCCCACTCAGCCAGCACTGAGGGACATACTTATTGTATCTTTCTCCAAAATGCCCAGGATAACAAAACCCTGAAGCATTGTCTGGGCTCCAAATTCCAGGAAATATTGCTAATTTGTTCCTTTTGCACACTACCTCTTAAGGAAGAAAAATCCTATAAATGGATGGAAATGCCTGCATTGCTTTCTGCCATGGTTTTGAGTCACAGGCTTCCTGGAGTGGGCTGTGTTCTTTTATATGCAAAAGAAAGGGCCTTTGGCTCTCCCAGACTCCCCTCTGGTTAGACTGTTGGCACTGTGTACTCCTGGCTTGTTAGAATGGGGTTGGGTTTATCTATTCTATTTTAGCTATGGAGCTATGATATGATGACCAGGGAATTCAAGTCAAATTGGAGAGTAACAATTGAAGCCCGAGGTTTAGCAGTCCACATAATAACTGGGTTTGAGTAGATCTTGCCTTCTAACTGGAGGGCATGGAGCTATCAGTGGGATAAAATTCTCAGGGTCTGTGGGAAGGTCCCAGTTCTCAAAAATAATTCCCCCAAACTTGTAACCTTCTACTACTAGAGGTTTATTTCTCTGGGTCCTGTAAGGTAGGCATAGTGCACAGAGCCTCCTCACTCACAAACAAGAGATTCTGGTCTTAATATTGAATTTGGAGAGAAGGATAGTAAGAAACTGAACAGAAGAGGGGGCAGTCCGTCTCCCTGGATGCTGGAGGAAGGTGCCAAAAGTCGTCCACCATTTTACATTCAACTAATGCCATACAGCTGTTTATACAGACCAGGAAATACATAAAAATTTCTGCCGCCAGTTTATGCTCTGCTTAAAGGAAAGACAGGCTAAAAGGAAGCAGGGGCTTGGTTTCCTTACTTCATTAACCAGAATAGGGATTGTGATAATTCATTTGCTCATTCATCTTCTCATCCATTAACTGTGGCAGATGGCTTTCTGCTGATGGGTTCTGCAATCCCATGTGTGGGAAGGGGGTTTCTCCACACTAACAAGCCACTGGCTTGATGTCCAGGAATTCAACTTAATTTTGACACTGTTTACTCAAAGGTAGCTTCAGATTCCACAAGATTGCTCTCCGCTTCAGATACCAATCATACAACCAGGTTGTCACTGTGCTTATGACTGACCAGCTACTGATTAGAGGGTCCCACAACCTCCTCTGTGAATTGGATTAATTTGCTAGAGGCTCTCAGAACTGAGGAAACCTGTTTACTCATTAAATTACTGGTCTGTTGTAAAGTACACTAAAGGATATGAATCAACAGCCAGACGAAGAGACCCATAGGGCAAGGTCTCAAACAAAGGAGATTCTGTCCTTGTGGAGTTTGGGGCCCCCTAGGGCCACAAGCGGAAGCTCTTTGGCTCACCAACCTGTAAATTGTCCATACCCTTGTCCTCTTGTATGTAGGCTTCATGGGCATGATTGATTAAATCACTGGCCATTGGCAATTGCTTCAACTTCCAGCATTCTCCCCTCCTTGGAGAGGAGGAACTGAAAGTTCCTACGCTCTGTTTTACTGGTTTGTTCTCCTGGCAACCACTCCCCATCTCTTGGTGCTTTCCAAAAGTCACCTCATTAACCTAACAAATGACACCTTTATCTTTCTCAACACTTAGGAAATTCCAAGAGTTTTTGGAGCTCTTTGCCAGAAACAGGGGTGAAGGCTAAATATATGTTTATTATAAATCACAATATCACACCTGCCCTCCCTGTACATGTGTGCCCTCCTTCCATCAAAACCTGAGTTTATATTCCCCTTCCCTTAATGCTGGGCTGACCTATGACTTGCTTTGACCAGTGGAATGTGGTGGAAGTCATTTAGGAGACTGCTTGGCCTTCAGGAGATTGCACCAGGGCATAAAGAAACTCAGGAGAGACTATGGATGAGGAGAAGGCACATGGAGCAGGAGAGGACATGTAGAGAAGCCTGAGGAACCAGCCTATTTCAGGGTGAAGCCTTCTGGGACCTTCCTGCCAAGCCCACTCACCATCTTAATGTATCAGTGAGTGAGTGACCCAGACAATGCCACGTGGATCAGAAAACTCTGACCCGCAGCTCTGACCACCACCCAAAATCACAATCTACAGAATCATAAAAGATGTAAATTTTTGTGGTTGTAAGCTGCCATGTTTTGGGGTAGTTTGTCGCCGAGTCATACACAATTGAACATTTACTATATGCTTTTGGCAGCTCTGTTTAAGCGGGTTCCCTTTTACACCAGTTTTCTAAGATAAATTTATGATCACAAACAGGCACTGAAATTTGTTAAATGATTTTTTCTTTTATTGAAATGAACATGTGATTGCTCTTCTCTTTTAGTCCATTGATCTTTAATCTGCTCTGAATTTTTATGTAGTCTTTCAGCAGAAGTCTTGTACATCTTTCATTAAATTTGTATCTGTATATTTTATGTTTTTTGATGCTATTGTAAATGGTATCCTTAAAATTGTTTATTTCCTAATTATTTGTGACAGAAATTGCTTTTTATATATTGACCTGTGTTCTGTGACT